AAGAACATTCACCAGAGAAAAGACACCATATTTAGCAAATGGTGCTGGAAAAACTGGATCTCCACCTGTAGGAGAATGGAACTAAACCCCTATCTTTCACCTTGCACAAAAGTCAACTCCAAATGGATCAAAGACCTTACTGTGAAGCCTGAAATTCTGAAACTGTTAGAAGAAAACATTGGCAAAAACCTACAAGATACAGGTGTAGGAAAGAATTTTCTAAACTATACATCAATTGCTCAGGAAACAAAGTCAAGAATCAACAAATGGGACCTCATTAAATTAAAAAGCAATATATCCATGGTAAGGTTGCTAGTTTGTGATAGTTTTATGGTACTTATAAAACAGAATTTCAGTAATACTCAGTGGTGATTGGGACATTGTCTTAATAAGCTGTTCTCAAATGGCTTAGTATGAAATATTCTTTGTACTTTTAACTATGCTGCAATTTTGGAAACTTTAATGGTGTTGATTGCTTTTGAATGGTGAGGTTTCACAATCGCCTTTGTCCTGCACATTTCTAATAAAATGGTACTTCATTTTCTCCACATTACAACGTAGCTGTTACTACATCTGATAATCATTGTTTAGAGAACGGGATGCCAGCCACTTCTTCCCTAAATCCTCAGGTCTGGCTGCTTCCCAGGTGCATCACGGTGTGCTAGGCTAGGATCACCATTGCCTAGAATTTACATGAGTTTACTCAGAAAGGTGTTTCTTAATCGTTTTTCCTTCCTAGTTGAAATTTTCACAAAGAAAATAACAGACAACTGAATTTCAAATGAAATTTGGAAGCTTAATTATAGCTAAAATTTCTGAAATATTACTTTTAAACTTGATTTTGAACAACGATTTTAATTGAAATGTGTATTCAATTTCCAAATGAATACAAATTCCAAATATGTTTGACAGGTAAAATCCCAAAGAAATAACCTGGGGTGATGTTGGGGGTGGGGGCTGATAGCCTTTCAGATTTTCAAAGCTACAGAACCAATAGAAAATGTCTCATTATCACATATGTATGTATGTATGCTTGTACATGTGTGTGTTTGTGTGCACATATGGATAGAAATATATATGCAGAAACTGACTATAGGGAATTTGTTTTTGAAATTATGAAGGCTTGCTAACTCCCAGACCTGCAGGGTTAGTTAACAATCTAGAGGCCTAGAAGAGTCAGTGGTTTAGTTCCAGTTAACATCCAATGGCCTGAGAATCAGGAAAACTGATGGTGTAGTGCCAGTCTGAAGGCAACAGGCTCCTGATCCAGGGAGAGCTTTAGTGTCAGGTCAAGTCTAAAGCAGGATAAAAATCAATGTCCCAATTAGAACACAGGTGGGTAGGAAGACTCTTGTACTCAGGGGAAGGTCAGTCTTTTTCTTCCATTCTGACCGTTATGAGGAATGGCAATCTGCTTCCACACAAAAATGCTCTCCTAGTAACACCCAGAATAACATCCAGCCAAATACCTGAGCACTACATGACCCAGTTAAGATGATGCATAACATTAACCATCCCAGGGGTGATCAGCAGAAAGAATCAGGCTGTAAAAAGTGCAGAGCACACTGCATTCCTCATCTAAATGTCACCAAGCATCATCAGCACAAATAGCTCTGAATGCAAAATGCCAGTGCTCTAGGACCCATTTCACTAGCACCTTCTGATCTCCCTCACCCTGGGGGGACTTGCCTTCTAACTATCAGGAGACAGTCACTGGATCTCAGTGTTTGGTGGGATCCAAATGAACACCCAGCTCTCCTACATCACTCTCAGGGTTGAAGACTGTGTTATGAGCCCCTGGCACCTAGGACTGCTAATGTTAAAGGCTCAGGGAGGCACAAGATGCCTCATCCTTTAAACTTCACTGGGGGAGCTTCCAAAATGTTCTTGCAACTCTGCCTTCCTTTATCAATTCAATCCCAGAAGGCTGGGATTGCCTTTTACCCACCCAGGGAGCCATCATGCAGTGAACCGTTTAGGATATGATTAGAAGCCCAAAGGCCTCCAAAGGTCAGGCAATAATTTATATAACCGCCATGGTGAGCAAACACGGGGTGTCTGATGTGTTTATATAACTGAATAGTGTGTCAGGGGAGCTGCAGAGGTAGGTGGGGGTTTCAGGATTACCAACTGTTTCCAGCAGGCCAGGCTCCTTGAAGCTGAGCTGGTTGATGCTCCCTCTATAAAGACAGCTGCATTTCCTTCTTGTCATACTCCTCAGAAGCTGACCGCTAACAGGATGCATGCCTACAGGCCTCTCTCTCCACACACACCGTGGGGTAGAGCCTGTTTTAGCTTGTGTTATTTGGGCTGTGCAATTGGCCAGAGTTAGAGAGCAAAAGTATTTCACACTCAAACATCTTACCGAGTCTCTTCTGTAGAACTGTGGAGATAGGAACTCCAAAATACAGCAGAAAGGGTTTTCACAGATAAAGACGAAATGTGATGTTCAAATCCAAATGCTGGTACATGTGTGTGTGTGTTGGGGTGTGTGTGTGTGTGTGTGTGTGTGTGTGTGTGTGTGTTACACACACAAGTCAACTTTGGGTGTCCTTCCTCAGGAGCCATTCACCTTATTTTGTGAGACAGGGTCTCCCATTGGCCTGGAGTTCTCCAAGTAGGTTAGGCTACCCGGCCAGAGCACCAAGGATTCGCCTGTCTCTGCCTCCTCAGTACTGGATTACAAGCCCATGCCACTACACCGAGCTTTTGACATGGGTTGCCGGGATGGAACTCAGACCTTCATGCTTGTCCAGCAAACTCTTTACTAACCATCTTCTCTTTTCTCCAGCCCCTGTATGCTGGTGTTCTTTCAGGGCAAACTCCCTGAGATCACTGGGCAGTTTGCTCATCTCTTCCCCACTCTAACCAGGGCTGGAAGAAGACAGGGCCAGTGCAATCTGGCCCAGGAGTGAGAACACAGAGACTCCACTGTTCTCCAATGAGAGGTCCAGGACTAACCCAGCATGGCTTTGTCACAGCTCCATCCTCTTTGATTCCCAGGGCTCCCACTCTTCCTCTGAGTGCTCTGAATGCTGCTCACCCTCTTTGCCAACTACCTCTGGACTGGAGTGGAAAAGAGGGAAGAGGGAAGCTAGTGCCAGGCTTCCAGCCTATTTCCACTGGCCCCTGGGAGTTTCCGGGGGAACTTTCTCACACATTATCACACGTTACAATTCTGAAAAGCAATAGAGTTTTAAGAGGTGCTAAGAGGACAAGGCAATTGTTCTGTTGATACAATCTACCCACTATGTTTCCTACCTGTAAGGAACTAAGTTATCTCAGAGGAAGATGAGCAGAAGAGGAAAGAAGAGCTGAATGGCCTAAGGAAAGTGAACCTTGAAAAAGAGGCACAGGGACAGGGGCCAGCTGGATCCAGGGAAGAATGGGAGCAGGCCATAGTTACTCAGAGGAAGTGGGGGGGATTTGTTGAGTTAGGTGTCAGCCCCAGCTAAGGGAGGAGAGGGTCAGTGAGGAATTCAGGGAGATTCTTACTTAGAGTGAAGGCACTGTGAGTATGTATGATATAGTCACTCATGGCAGAGGGCTGGAAGGACTGCCTTTATGGTCATAGTGGGCCTTCACGCGCTCTTTGTCACATACATGCCACGTACTGGTGAAGTCCTAGGCTGATCCCAATCACGTGTGATAGAGACGATTGCCAAAGAGGAGGACAAAAGGATAGACACTAACGCACCATCTGTGATGGGCAGTCACATGGCCCCACAGAGATGATGTATAGTTCTAAAACCTGTGAATTAGCAATGTTGCATGATCAGGGAGAAGTGCTGACAGAATTAGGTCTGCTCATTGTGACCTTGTGCTGGGAGGTCATCTGGATAAACGCAATGGAATGCATACAGGGGCCATCTAAGTAACCAAGGAGACTGGAAAGATAGAGTAGCGGAAGCCAAGGATGGAGTAATGAGATTTCCATCTCTACAGATAGAGGAAAGAACCCTGAACAGGAAGTTCAGCAAATTTGGGGCAGCTAACAGAAGCTGGTGACAGGGAAGGGAAATAAATCCTCCCTTAGATCTTCTGGAAAGGAATACAGCTTTGCCCAGTGAGTCCTCACTAATTCCATATGCATGTGTGCGTGTGTGTGTGCACATACACACACACACACACACACACACACACACACACACTAAATAAAGCCACTAGGACCTTACTCCTAAGAACTTGAAACAATAGTGATAGCATGTATAAGACTCACACCAACTCAGAAAAAAACCCAGCAGAGAATGAGGGAAATGGGTAGGAGACCCCAATTCTAGACAGAGACCTATGACAACTGATTACTGCTGGGTGAGTAGATCTTAAGAGTGTGACTCTAGTTAGGCTGACTAGACCCCACTGGATGAGCTTGCACCCAGGGACATCAGATACAAATGTTTGACTCAACAACATACACGACTGGATGCATGAAATCAGGTGGGGGGGATATGAGGGTCTGGATGGGGGAGGGGGGTCTAAATTTGACTAAGATCTATTATATGAAATGCACAAAAACTCAATAAAAATATTTTTTAAATCCAGATTTTTCACCATTTTGCTGACCTTACACCACATTTTATAGCAGTTTAGTGCTTGGGGACACTAATAATCAATACGGGCCGTCTTCACTGCCTGCCCCCGTCCTTGTGTAAACACTAGCAAGTTGTAAGCATACACTCCATTCACCTCAACTTGACGTTTTAAAATAATAAACGTAGGACCCACAGCTTTAACTTTTCTTTTTGAATAGTTGCACGTTATTTCCTATTAGCTCATAGTGGTGAGGATTTTTATTTACTTTGTGTGTTTGTGTGTTTGTTTTTGTTTGTTTGTTTGTTTTAAGGGGTTCAACTGTGTCTTCAACCCAGGTATGGGGCTGTGTCTTTGGGCAGAAACTGGCACAAAGGAGGGCCTGGGGATCCAGACACAGGCAGCTGAGCACCGCCCACATCCCCCGTTTCGCCAATCCACCAATCTGTTCTCAGGGCCGGCCTCTTGGAGGCTCTGGTGTTCTCTGCGGGTGACTTTCCACATCCCCCCAACCTCGCGTTAAACTCCCATTTCCTTCCAGGCCTGAGGTTCTTCCTTTTGGGGACCACTGGTGCCCCTTCCTAGCTGATTCCTCGTGCCCCGGAATCCGAGCTCCAGGAAACAGCGGGGCAAAGGGTGAGTGTGTGTCAGCGACCGGGTCTGCACCAAGAGAGGCCCGCGGTGACAAAGGCCACCACCAGCAGGGTGGGATGCAGCGTCGGGAAAGGAAGGACAAGTGTCCAGAGGGTGGGCGGGACTGGCGTGGGGACCTTGTAAGTGCAGAGATGGCAGGAGGCCTCCCTTCCTCTTTGTCCTTTCTGAGCTCTCTGCGACTCTGTACATCCTTCTTCGTGGTCCCCTCCTCCGCTTGCCTGACCCCTGTTTTCTTGCTCAGTTTGTGCTCAGTGGGGAGCCATTGGGATTTGTTCAAAGGAACCTCTGGGTGATGTTCTCTCACTCGCTGGAGGGAGGCTCCACACTGCGTTCTTTTAGGGCCCCTTGTCTCTGCCTAGCTTCCCCTGCTGACCTCAGATAATCGTCTTCTTGCAGGGCTCTAAGCGCCCCA